AACTGATCAATGTCCAGCCTCGTCATCAAAGTATGACTGGGTTGCAGAAGACGAGTTTGTCAGACTTAAAACCACTTAGAATGTTGCCAGCTCCGCCTTAGTCAAAAACTAGTAGATTTCACCCCTTTCCTTCCAAAATGTTTCAAAAAATGCAGTCAGTTTCATCGGACACCATAATGTCTGTAACGATGACAAACATCAGATTTCAAACAGAGGTTTAAGAGTTAAAACTTCTAAGCTTTGAAGGCTGGAAGCATAACAACTTATGAAATAATGCTGCAAAAGTCCAGTCGCTAAGAAATTACGAGCAACCTTCGGTGTATGCATCTGTGCGATTAACAACTGGCGACACGAAAGAGAACCAGAATAAATTATTTTACAATTTAACTTTTATGAAACTTCCATATAAAAACAATCAACAAACATATCATGCCCTCACAGCGTATTTCCTCATTGGAAATTTACGAAGTTTCGCTAATTGCTTTGGAGATTTTAGCGACATTTCATGTTTCGTCAAAGCTCGACGCATCGCCCTCGTCTTCTTATGGCGCAAGTCGAGAGGTTTAAACCGTTTTCCCTGAAAGAAAAGTGTTAGGTGGGCAACTTTAAATAGACGACTACGGGTAACAAATTCCAATGACTTTCAGTCCACGTATAGAGGATAACTGAATAAACAAAGAATACATCATTTTGCGCTTCCATATCAGCAGGACCTAACCAGAACTTCTAGACTAGAATCCTCTCAATCTTAGGCCTCTTATACATTCTATACTACAAAGCTCCGCGGCATTGGCTCTTTCCCTAATGGTTTCTTTTTCAAGCAATTAATAAAGGAGCAAATTTTCACCTACTGTTTTTGAAGAACACTTATCGCTCAAAATGCAGCTTTCATTCTCGATTATGAAACGCAAAATTGTACTTACAACAAGTGACAGTTCCGACTTGAACCACTAAACTTCGCTTTATGCCCACATCACGCTCCATCTGCCACAGCTTTTCTCAGAGCATCACGTAAACTCTGTGTCCTCTGCATCAACTAATTATTTTGAAGGAGTTACCGCCAATGCTTGATTAACTCCAAAATCAGGTATTTTGATTTCGTCTTTGGCAGTGATGTGATATCAATATCACCAAAAAACTCTTTAAATATATCCATTTCACTGACCTCTTGGTTCTCCTGTTTTCACTACGAGTCAAACAAAACTATAATGTCTCACTAGCGCACAAATGTCCTCAATCTCTGTTTTTTTTTTT